GTTTATAGTGTTCCCCCCCCCCACGTTCTGAGCCAAGCTTTGGGGTTGCATTGGAATTGATCCACCCCGTGGACGATTTAGCATAGCAATTTGTGGTTGCTTTCGGGAATCTGACATTTCCGATACCGTCTAATTTGTAGGTCACGTTAGCCCGGTAACAAGTCACAGCAGATGGCCTTCCACTGTTCCCTTGGATTGGACAAAAGGCATGGAAGGACTGCAAATATTATAAATAATCTTTGAGAAAAAAAGTCCAAGTTGGAACTCACGAAGGTTTTGCGCACGAAGGGCTTCTTCCGCACAGGGATAAATACATAACGAGGGAATCTGAAATGGTGAACGAACCATATGTTTGAGGAAAATGGTTCGTTTGTTTACCTGACTATTTGCCCATTTGTTTGTTTGTTTGTTTGGTTGACTGATTGATTGATTGAGTGATTGAGTAAGTGAGTGAGTGAGTGAGTGGGTGGTTTTTTGGTTGGTTAGTTGCATCACATTGTCCAGATTGGCCCCAAAGGCGTTTGGGAATACGAAAAGGTGAAAGTGACAGGAAGCTGTTTGTTCGGCGAAGCGGGCGAAGTTCCTCTCCAACTGATAGATTGGTCGGTTCGAATGATTACTTTTTTGGTTCGATTCTCCAGGCTAACTGGTTTAGCAATTGCAAATCATCGATACACTCCATATGATCGTAGAATAATTCCAAGACTTCCGAAGATATTGACTGCAGCGTTTGTGAAATGAGCTGAAGTTCCCCGGTTGCCGTCAGTTCTCTGGGTGGATAGTGCATGCGCTTGGCAAACGGGTGTAATTCCTCATATCCTGAAATCGCCATGTTCCACACGTGAAGGGTTCTAGCAATGAGACGCATCTTTTCAAAATTGATCAGTCTGACCTTACTCGATTGCTGCTGCGCGTAAATTGTACTATTCCCGTCTTCGGCAAATCGTAAATCTTTTAACAGTATGGCTAAGAAAGGCAAACAGTTTTGTATGTTCTCCGCGATCCAATTTCGTGCCGCTCTGTGATTTCGCGCCGGATCGATAAGAGGCAGCAACCGATTTTGATATAACCGCTTCCATCGTACCGGGAGTCGATCCCACGTTTGTGTGAGGCGTGAAATCGGTGCACTCTGCAACGCCATCACTATGGCGAAACAGGTATGTTGGTCGTGAAAAGGCGAGGAAATGAGACGATCTGCTAGCTTGATCAGTCGCTTCAAAACCTGTACACGTTTATTCAGCACCGGCGTTGTGACCAGCTGCGTGATGGTCCACGCATGAATCAGGCTAAACTGAGCGACCAGCAGCCGGATGTGTGGCGTCGCACAACCAGATTTTTCGCTGCCCATCGTATAGTTCAACAGTTCACTAGCAGTTATACACATGGCTAATTGGATATGTGAAAAGGTGAAAATAGAGGCGATTTCGTCAACACTCAACTCCTCAAGTGCACTGAAACGCTGTGAGACAGAAATCGATTTCTTCATCTTTGGTGAGGAAAGGCTACTTTCCTTCCGTTGGATATCGATCGTAGAACGTCCAGGATCGGTTTGATCCAAGAAGCTCATGGCAACATTCAGTTGAATTGGAAGTGGTACTAGCTTCGCTCGGTCTTGTCTAGGCACGAAAAACAAACAGCTGTTCGGAGAAAGACTAAACAGGATACCGCGTTCACCATCTGTGTATGTGATTCGTTCGCCTGTCGAACGTACCTCTACAAATTCATAATCATTTATCTCAGTGCCCAACGGTAGCTCGGATGAGAGACGGGACTTTATCCGCTGAACAGTTGTATCCACAGGAAGAGTGAGGATGACCTTTCTGTGGTCTTCGCCCAAATAAACCAGAAAGGTGATTGTATGGGTTCTTGGGGTGAAAGGCAATGAGTGCGGTTCGATTCTGAGACGATTCAAATGATATGGTGTATAGTATATTGAGCGATGCACATGATGAGTATAGTGAGACAGCTGTTGGAGTGCACAAGGCAGCGATGTGACAATCTGTTTGCCACGGGTAAACAAAGCCCGCGTTCCAGATAGAACACCACATTTTTGACTTGATTTCTTCCGTGAATTATTCTTTTTCAAACTGTCAAGCTCGGTAGTCGAGCGTGCGTCATGATGCGCAGGATTCCAGATTTGATCGCATTCTCTCAGCAGTACTTCAACTGCCTTCTTTTCCAGGTCACAGTTGGTCCGACAAGAAATCAGCTGTTTGATATCACAAAGGAAGTTTCCAAGACCATCCAAGGAAGCGAACGCCAGTAATCCGATACACATACACCACAAATAAAGTAGTATCAACACACGTCTACTGAAACAATCTTCGTAGGCTTCAGGATTTTCATTCTCTGATGACGTTAGTTGGTCAGCTTTTCCGTTGGAACGATCCTGACCGAGGTAAGCGAACAGCAAATTGAATACATCCGAATTAGTGGTGAACATTGTCAAGGTCAGGATAAACTCCTCAACGACAATATCGATCTCCACCTGTGAAAACGGGCACAGTCGATAGAGATTCTCAAGCCGAGACACCAACGTAGGCAGCTGGTCATCGTAGATAGAAAGCCGAGCGTCCAGTATATGCCGCAGGATTTTATCGATTGTCCCAGCTATAATTAATTGATTGTTCGCACGTGTATGTCTCTTGTTTTCTGGTTCCATTGTAGACGTTTGTTCAAGACCGTGTACGGAACTCGCAGACTCTCTACAAGTGTCTTTCACACATTCTAGGACTAAAACATCTGAATCTCCCTCACGCAGGCGCACAATATTTGCCTCAACATCAACCAGCACGCGCTCGTAGTCGGTTTTATCCACCCGTAGGAAATGGCAGTTGTCTTCTGCCAAAATGATACTAGCGGCCCGTGGGTCTCCTGTCACAAGTGCAAGTTTACCAAAGTCATCACCGTCGTACAAACGACACACATAGCCTTGACTTTTGATGTGAACCCAGACACTTCCCTTGTATATTATATACCAACAAATTCCAGGATCTCCTTGACGAAACACAAGTTTATTGGACCGTGGATGAACTTCATACTTGATGCATTTACTCAACTCATTCCTTACAGAGTTTGGAAAGTTTGCCAAAGCAGGAACCATCAGGAGCTCTTGACTGACAAATTCAACCTCCACTTCTGTGCGTTGACTGGGCAACTTAACCAGAATACGTCTAAGAAGTGCGGCAGAGGCTAGACAATAGAGACGTTCGATTAACAGATGAAACCGGTCCTCTGCTGTAACTGCGTCATCTGCATCGGTACTGAGGGTATGTGATCTCGAAAACATGCTTTTTCTTCCAATAAAATCTACTGGTTTTTCTTGTTTGCGCAATGCGTTTGTTGATACACCCTCCAGATCCTCTTCTAAACTAAGACTGGCATCCAACGGGCACGTACATCGATACATTTTCTCTGGAGAATCCATGAATTCAGGAACATCTGCAACTTTTCCGGTACCCATCACATCGAATGGCTGTATAGCAGACTCTTCCAATAAGGCTTGCCACACCCCAGAGGCTAACATTCGATCCTTCTTGCCACTAAGCCTGATTAGGTCCGTGATGAGTTGTTCACCGGATGAATATTTTCCACTTTCTGGAGAGTACTGCGACTGGACCTTCTTCCACAATAAAACACAAGCTCTCACAACCCATGAAGGTGGAAATTCGCTCGGAGTGAACTTGGGTTTCGAAAGCTCCCCACTGTGGATTTCCAGGTCTATTGGTTCGCTGCTGCAAGTTTCCTCTACCCTCGTAGGTGTCTGCTCTGCTAAAAGTAGGCCGTTGAAAGCTGCGCTCTGTTTTCTGTTGTCACGTGTAATTTTGTTGTAAACTGCAGCGGACTTTGATAAATTGATGGCAAATGGTGTGCTCATGGTATTGCAGGAATTCCTGCTTGTTTGAAACCGACACTACAGTTTGCTTTTGTTACAGTGCGGAGTGTGGTGGGATGACCACCAATCGCTGGTCGCCAACCGCGTGATACACAGCTGACATCCACGTTAAATCGGCTTCTGATTGGGTAAATGCTGGCTGCAACCTGTTCTGACCCGCTCGGTGATTGGCTGATTCTGAAACAGGGCAGCTTTTGAAGTCATTGAGTAATGTCCCATGTCGAGTGATGCAACCTGTTCTGACCCGCTCGGTGATTGGCTGATTCTGAAACAGGGCAGCTTTTGAAGTCATTGAGTAATTCCAAGGTATAACGTCCCATTGGCGAGTGAAGCTTACATTACCTTGGTCTGAGGGCGGTTGCAATAGTTCCCAGTACGACTAAAAAAAACAAGAAAAAGAAGACTCAAACAAAAATAAGACGATCCGGGTGTGGACTGTTCCGTGCAATGGTTAGGGTCTAAAATTTAGGAGCTACATGATTTAACGCTAAAATGTGTACAAACAGAGAACTCTATCCTCGCTTCGAGAAGATACTAAACGACGACCGCAAAATGCGTCCTCAGAGTGGTATTCCTTGCCGAGCGGGTGACAAATCAGCCCAACGGAACTGGTACCTCATTTGTACTTCATTTTCAACATGTTTCGGGATTCACGGGTTCAGTGAATTCAGTGCTACATATATTCAGTAACCCTGGATACTCGTGAATCAGGATTGCTAGTGAGTTTAACAAAAACACGTTTAGCCACAACACAAAGACAATGATTATTACTGGAAACCTGGTTAAGCTTGCCACGTTGCTCTGTATTACGTGTGTCCAACTGCTATCTGCCCATCTAGTTCAAGTCGTCTTGGGCATTAGGTTCGCCTGGTGCATTGCGATGTGAAACGAAGGCGGCTACTGTTTAAATGAATACTGTGGGATCTTCGCGCCATTCTGGGTGGGGCCCAAGATATCCTGCTTGCGGATAGTTGTAAATCCTGCACTAGGAACCCCAGTGGCACCCAAACTGTCATTTTCTGGCCGGACTACCTAGCTAAAGTTCGCCTGTCGCTGTGCGATGGTCTTTTCTCGGTTGAGGTTCACAAGGAACACGTGGTCGTTCCCATTGATGGCGCCTTTTTTGAAAATGTACACAAATGTTTTTGTTTCAGTGCTGTCCAAATGTGTAGGCACCTTATTCTTGATCGTTTTTCTTAGAGACATATGTTTTCCTATGTCCCTAACCTTCCCTTCTCTTTCCGCTCTTTACTGAGGCTTTATTCCCCAATGGTTTTGTGGCAGTTCAACACCAGCATGCATCAAAACAAGACCAGCCAAAGGAAGGTCACTGATTTGGCAATTTGATAAGTGAACTGGGATTGCAATATAGACCCCATAGGCTTCTAGTCCCCGAAGAGATCCGTATCAATACCGTAGCGCAAGTGCATCAACCATCTGGATAGTCTCCTCGTCCGTACTCCAGAGTCTTGTTTTTTGGGAGGTTTGCTTCAAAAATCACCCTTTGATTAAATTGTCTCCCTGTGAAGGACATTTTCAAGGAGAAAACACAGTACTAACTTTTATAACAAGCGGTATCGCCTTTTTGGGTTGGTCGGTTAGAGTACTATGTTCTCCTCCAACTAGAAGATCAACTCTGAAACCTTACTGGCACGAACTAAGGTTTTTTGGTGTCGAAGTAACGTCTTGTTAACCAAAGAAATGTGCGACCGATCCTGACGAATAGGACGAAGCATGTGAGGAATGGCTTTGAATGGCCATTCACTATCCACCCACAAATATTAGAAATTTCCATGGGATTTGAGACTGCATTTAATACGCACTTTACCGCGCGACGCCAGTATGACTGCGCTCACTAATTCCCGATTGAATACGGAACGAAAAATCAATCAATTCCAGGAATATCTCAGAGTCTTTGGATGTGTCGACGTGTTCAGAGGCCAGCGGACAGAAATTACTCAGGAATTTTGACCTGTGACAGACTGCCAGTCGCGGAGAACATTCGCACATACCGTCCATTTATCAAGTTTATCAGGAAGGCCAGATTCCTGAAAGCAACCACTGAATGCCCGAAATCTACTGAGACCCTCAGCTCCGCTAGAGGTTGACCAGACAGACAACGCCCCTCAATATGCAACCCTTCACAGCCTTGTATCAAACCCAGACAGCGCGAGTCAGCGTTGATCAAGGTCAGACAACGCCCCCGCAATATGCAGCGCGTCACAGCCTCGTACCAAGGCCAGACCACGTGCGTCAGCGTTGGACCAAGTTACACAGTGTCCCTCCAATAACCACCTTGAGACCGTTGTACTTTCGCACTCGCTTGTTCGGAATACAGCTGTTGTGTTCCCTTCTGTGAGTCTTTTTTCCGGCATTCGGCAC